AAATTAAAAGAGTTTAATCCGATATTTTCATTATTAATTTTGATATCTACTGAGTTTAGAACATCAACTCGCTTATTATTGGGTCCATATAAGATAGCCTTTGATTTTGTGGGGTTTATAATCAGACAATGATCAATAGCATTTTTAACGAATATACCGATTTCCCTATTGATTATCTCGCATGCATCATTCGTTTTTTGAGGCGGAAAATTAAAATAATAACAGCACAGGACCTAATATTGAGCCTTGTGGTACTCTAGATATGAGTGAAAGATAGTTAGATGAGAATATTTAACATAAAGAAATGAAAGAATACAGAAATCAGGGTAGAAGTTCTCACTTTCAACGTATTCTGTTGCAGATAGATCGACTAATTCGACAAATAACCCGAGACGATGTGGTTCTATCAGGAATGAAATTTTTTTATATCCGTAAAAATCTCATTTTGCAGGTGAGTTGATAGATATTGGGAAAGAACATCACAGATTTTAATTTTCCGTTTTCAGATAGCTGGATCCATAGTAACATACGAACTTGTGTTAGTGCAGTTTGCTGGAGATTTCTTGAAAGAACATGAAATTGCTAATAGAACATATTCATTATGAGTTTAAGTACACGTTTGACAATTTCTTATTGCACGTAAATAGATGTTGAATTGAAGCAATACTCACTTGAATATAATGATATATTGTGACCTAGTTATTTTATTTCCTGAATTTCAATGTCGCTTCTTAGAAGGTACCTTAATAGTCCAAAAATTTTATGAACAATTTTTCTAGGAACATTTTGGAATAAACTATATGAGAAGATTGAAAAATCATTAAATTAAATCACATCGTCATGCAACTACTAAAAGCGCTGCCAACAATAAAGAAAAAATGTTCAAAATTATTCTGGATTGAGCAGTACACAATAACCTACTTGATCATTGGAATCGTTTGAGACATTTTGTAGCACAGCGGGTGTTAAGTCCTTCATTCGTTGCCTGATTCAATATTTCAGGTCACAGATAGAGCCAGGTATGTAAGTATACAGTATTTAGATCTTTTTTCATTAGATCTACAGGCAGCGGATTTTATTTCTCTTCACCACATTGAAAATATCAATGACAAATTGGCACTTTTCAATGGGATGTCAACCGATGTTTCTGAAAAATATTCTTCTATCAAAACTGTTGAAATTCCCAAGAAAAGGGCCCCTTGGCTCACAGACGATCTGAAACTCATGTTTAAACTAAGAGATGGAGCACTTACGAGATTCAGAAAGACAAAGTTACAGCATCACTGGGATTATTACAAACAGTGGAGGAATTCAACCAATCGTACTGTGAACCTGGAGAAAAAAACATATCTGAATTATAGGCTTACAAGAAGTAAGCACATATGGAAAGATGTATCCGATTTGAATATTCACCATAAAAGAAATCTCAAATCCATTCCAGATGTTGGAAGATATCAACCAATTTTTTTAGAAGTATAACCAACTGTAACTCTTCCCCTGATGATGAAATTATGGATTTTTTTCGAGTAATAATGAAGCTACTGATGACGATGAAATCTATAAGTGAATATGAATCTGAATATGAAGTCGAATGCTGTAGCACCTGATGAGATAAGCATTTAAATGTTGCTGTACTACTGCTCCACAATACTTCTACATATCACTCACTTATTCAATCACTGCATATCGACTAATTCTATCTATCTGGAAGCAAGCAAACGTTCCTCCGCTGGCCAAAAATTCTAACCTCGATAGTTTAGGCGATCTCCGACCAATTAGCATCTTAGGTGCTCTCTCAAAAGTTTTTAAAAAAATATCTGAATGACTTCGATATATTACCGGAGTGTCACAGATCTATTGATGATAACAAACTCTGTCTTCTGATATTATTGGACTATTTTGGGCTACCTAGGGTTTTCAATACATGCTGTAGCACTACTCAAAAGTTACCTTCGCAATCGTTCTCAAAGAGTTGTGTATAATAACGAAAAATCTGATTTAATATAATTGCTGCTGTAGTATAAACTGACCGTAGAAAACGAAACTGAAAATAGAAACCATGTCACAAACTGAGCNATACAAGTGGAGAAAGTCAGCAGCAATAGGTTTTGTTGATTATCAAAACTAGGTAGAAATTTGAATTGAAAGGGTATATTTGTAGAAGACAATAATTTTTTTCCACATATACCCTTTCAATTGGAACAAGATTCCTACGGCTGCGATTCAATCAAATAATGTTATTACGGATTGTCATCAATGTCATGGGTGGATTCAACTCATTCCGTGAAAAAGTCGTAATTTTATGAACGAATTAAGTGTTTTTTCCTGTAATGTTATCCGTATTTGGTTCTGAAGAGTCGAAAAGGATGAACAATGTTTCATGTAAATGAAATTTCACTTCTATCACTCATTATATTATGTAGGAATCCTGTGAATGATATCTGATTCGATTCCATTACGAAGTTTGGAATACAAACGAAATAGAGAGAAGTGTTTTCTTTTATAATTTGGTATTCACATAGAAGTATTTATTTCGTGTGATGTTTTTATGAAAATAGCTGTTTCGAATGGAGTTTTTCTTCCAGTTTGTGTCTGAAAGTATCTTTGCGTGATCTACACATCATTCTATATAGCTCCATTTTGAAATTGATTGATTTCTTCCTTTCTTTGGAAGATTCTCACAATTTGTTTGTATCAAGATAGAGAAGTAGGAAGCCGAAACCTCTCTTTCCCAAAAATAGGTAAAAATGTTGTTTCCAGTAAATGGTCTCTAATGTATTTCTCAGGGCAAAATCTAATCTTTCATCTAAATGTCAGGTATTGATTGGAACTGTGAGGAACATGCACATTCACAAACAATTTCAAACGTAAACATGACAATCAAATTCAACCGTCAAAATATAACTTGGGGTTTAGTGTTGATACGTAAATATTATTGAATCTACACATGTTTATCACATCATTCTATATAGCTCCATTTTGAAATTGATTGATTTCTTCCTTTCTTTGGAAGATTCTCACAATTTGTTTGTATCAAGATAGAGAAGTAGAAAGCCGAAACCTCTCTTTTCCAAAAATAGCTAAAAATGTTGTTTCCAGTAAATGATCTCTAATGTATTTCTCAGGGCAAAATCTAATCTTTCATCTAAATGTCAGGTATTGATTGGAACTGTGAGGAACATGCACATTCACAAACAGTTTCAAACGTAAACATGACAATCAAATTCAACCGTCAAAATATAACTTGGGGTTTAGTGTTGATACGTAAATATTATTGAATCTACACATGTTTATTCGTTTTCATTCACGTGCTAGGTGAGTTGATGTGACACGTTTTCGTAAACTTATTTGGAAAATAATTGAGTGTCAGAATGTAAAATTTTACTGGAATGGATACCTCGCATTCTGGAACTGGAAGTTCTCCAAGAACGAATGGAAACAGACATACAGGTAAATATTGATTCATCAGTTTCGTAGTGGATGAAAAACACTAGTATTTTCCAGTAGAAAACATATCAAACATTGAAAATCTGTCTTAAGATAATGTATGATGTGTTTCCGTACAGGGTACGTTTATGAAAACAAACGGATTTTTTTTCAAAAACATGAAATTAGCGATGGATGTTTATGTTGTTGATTTTAGTAGAATGAAAAATGAAAATCAAAATTCTATATATCAGTGAGTTTACTTTAAACTGTAATAGCTACATTTGATCAAAATAAGCTACATTTGAATCAATGTACTTTTGCTAACGTAACACAAGATGACTGATTTCGTCACTATGAAAATTGTGTGCTTGGGACTCGAATGAAGTCGACGAAGGCCGTTTCTGCCTGGCCCTGGTTGACGAAGGTTCTACGGATGAGAAAGTTTATCTGTTTAAAATCTGTTATTCCGTTAATCAGCTGTCGCCCCCATTCGAACGACAACTCTCAGAAGTTGAGAAACTTGTGCGAGTTAAGGACTAACGAGGTCTTACCTTTTAACCATTTTGTCAGTAAAATGAATATTTATCGAATTGTGGAGCTACAAAAACATATTTAAAATGGAGTATCACTGTCTGCTTGCTTGAGAATGTGATTGTTTTTTGCAGTCGAAATAGAGACCGATATGAACAGCAAAAACCTTATATTGAAATCGAAAATGGATTCCAACACCTTCCAGTCTGTCATGGACTTGCCACTCAGAATTGCTCAATGTTTCGGATTCTTTCCCACTAATATTGTCAGGCAAACACGTAGATCGATGAAAATTAGATGGTTCCATTGGCAAACTATCTATTCATTTTTGACATTCATGATACTAACTGAAGAAACTATCAAGGCTTTTTACGTAGAACTGCCAAGAAGACACAACATATTCACCATAGGTGAGGGATATTGCTAGAGATGGAATTTTACAGGGTGTTTCCTATCTACGATAAAAAACTCCAGAGAGTGATTCGTTAGGTTAGGTTAGGTTAGGTTAGGTTTTGTTTCAAGGGGAAGAGTTATCATGAACATATATCCGAAATTGCTTCGTTTCTGACATATAGGGCGTTGAAGTTAAAAAAAAACGGTATTGATAAAATACCATTTATACCAATTTTTTTTGTCGCTCGTGTTTTCTACATATTTTTTGTTTTGTTTTCGAGAAAAAATCACTTCTGAAAACTATACGACTCCAATCGATTTGTCTGAGATGTTCAAAACTACCTGGAGTATTCCTCATGACACTGTAATGGTCAATTATTCGATTCCTCAAGTCATTCGCATCTAGTACAGGAGTTTCATAAACAAGATCAATCACACTGCGTAGATGCTTTGTGATATTTCGAAAGCGTTCGACAGCGTCTCACATCACCTAATAAGAACCTATTTTACTAATCATCAACAAGCAGTGATGCTCAACGGTACCTTATCAAACTTCAAAACTATTAAACATGGCGTTCGGCAAGGGTCTGTTTTGGGCCCGCTCTCTTTTGTCATTTATGTGAATGACTTGTGCAAATATATGATGCCGTTGAAATCGGTTTTTTTTTGCGGACGACACCACTTTCATTCTGTCGGATAAAAATAATGGTATGTTACAGTCTCATCTCGACGAGGTATCTGATAGTGCTAATTAGTGGTTTATATCTAATGAGCTGAAACTGAATTGTCAGAAAACACAATTCTGTGTTTTCTGTGTAATTGTGAAACTAATAAAGTTAAATTACTGGGTATTACATTAGATAATATACTCAACTGGTTTGCACATATTTCTTGACTAAAGAGAAAACTCTTGGGTTCTCTATTTGTTCTTCGCCAATTGAAGGCATTGAGAGTGGTGGCTGATATTGGATACAGGGATCGCTGTCAGAAATATTTAAAAAAACTCAGGATTATGCCATTGCCAACTATATTTCTTTATTACGTTTTGATTGAAATCCATAAGAAGAACTGTTTTTCTCAAAACGACCTATCGAATCACCCACTGAAGTTTCTAACCGTAGTTAGGAAACACCCTGTATATTTGAATCAACCTTTTTGTTCTCACCAACTGTTTCTTTCCAGATGTTCTGATATTTCATTCGAACTCAGTAATCCAGTTTATATTGCTGTTCAAGTTGAGTCTGGATTGGCCGTCTTATGTAAAAGAATGGCACAAAATTGAAAGGAAATGTTGGACCACAGTTGATAGCTGCAGTAACCTCAAGAGAAAAATAAACTCCATTGTTTTGTCAATATTGATCATCGCTACAGGTAATTTGGTAGAACGAAAAATTGAATGTCAGCCAGTTTGCATGGCGGTGGATCGAACTTATTGCAATTATCGAAAAAAGATTCAGTACAGTTAGACTTTTTTTCTAGTTGAACATTTTTTGATCGCTGCATATATCTTGAAAACAAGCATGGAGAGGTCTTCTACGGTAGCAGAAGGATTCAAAACATATTTCCTTAGAAGTTACCGCTCAGCATTCACTTCCATGGATTACTCTTTATGGAAAGGAGTTATTCTAGAGGTACAATGGATCTAATAATATCCAGTGACGGCTCGTGCATTGGAGAACAGGGGAGGCTTGAGTCATATAGACTATATACACACAGAAAATCCCGACGGAGGCGCGAAAATTTTTATGTTGTTGCACGCTTTGCTAAATACTAAAGTTAGGGCATAGGCATGACAATGCATAAAAAATGCATGAGGAGCTATGGACTTTATTTCAGTTTGTGAACCATTTAAATGGGCGGCCATGACCGCAGCCCCATCATAGGTTTGCGCAATTATCTTTTGCCTAAAATTATAGGTGTCACACGTACGAATTGAAAAATTAAACAAATCGTCAAGTGTGCGCCCAGATGAAACATCATGAAAACCCATAAGACGTTTTACCACATTACCATCTTTGACATATCTAAAAACGATTGAATGTTGTGATGTACAGGTAATATCGGTAGTTTCATCAATTTCCCGTCCAAAAAATCTCAAAGTTGAATCTCTCAACTCCTACATACTTTGGCCAGAAGTCAGGTCTGAACATTTCCTCTTTTTTTCCAGAGGTGCTGCGACAACAAATCTTTTGAGTTTTTCTGTTCACCAGGAAGCTCTTTGACTATTATTGCATGGTGTACATTTCTTAAATTCGGACGTATGTAAAAGAGTTTTTTCCGATAATTAACTTTTTCAATGTTGTTAATAGCAACAAATTGTACGCCACTGCTCAGTTGGAATATATTTGGCACTCTTTCATTTGTTTCTTACGCTACTTTTTTGATAATTTTTCAGTTCTTCTCTGATGAGAGGACTATTACAATTGAGAAATGGTTAAAAATGCTTTTTTTATTTCTCATTTTCATGTTAAAAGTGATAACTGCATCATTACTAGTAGTGAGTGCCGTAAACACAACTTCGGTTTTAGTGGGCTTCTCCATGTTTGTTTGTATTGCTTTGTTTACATGTTGATATCTTGTGCTGTTGTATATTTATAAATAAACATTATTATCATTACTATTATCTCTACATCAGAGGTTCTAGTACCTTCAACTACTTCACTCTCAAATATATTTGATTTTCCTCAGAACACTACAGAAAGCTCGTGGAAGGGAGTTCGAGAGGACTACAACAGACTAGCCTGTCTTTGCAAATTCGTCAATCTGAAAATCGGTCCAGCGATTTTACTGTCCTTCTCAGCAAACTTGGGACTGATACTGATCCAATTATTCAATAGCCTGAAAGTTAAGCCTAGTATAGTAGCAAAGCTTTACCTATATTACTCTTTTACTTTTTTGCTGGTTAGAACAGTAGGTGTTTGCCTAGCTGGAGCTACAGTGAATGTTGCGAGTCGAAAACCTCTGCCATATTTGTATAGCGCACCTGATTCAGCATATAACGTAGAGGTGAGTTTCACAACCTGAAATTTTATATATGAATTGTATTCGATTACACAGGTTTGTGATGAAAAAATTATAGGATACTTAACTAGTGTATTTTGTGTGCAGATTACGGGAAAAATATTAAAAAAATTCTGTCACCTTCAGATAAGCCACAAATTTCACCTGAAATTTTCTTATTAAATGGGTTTTTAGGTTCGGTATGGATTCGATGGTTCTGTATTATATAGCCTATATAAGCGATAAATTGAGTCTGAATTATGGAACTTTGTGAATGTATATCTGAGATAAAATACGGTTTTAATCCATTCANGTTGCTGAAATAAAAGTTCACAAATATCTAGTAGAAGAGCTTTGAAAATAGTGGAGGCCTCACCAAGAAACACTGAAGAAATTCAGAATAACAAGCAAATTTATAGGACATGTTCTGTCCTCTTTAGATTCAAGTTCACGTATTATTTTTCGTTTTCTTTCACTTCATTATTTGAGTTATACATCCTCTGATTAATAATTTGCTTTCGGACTCGTTAAAGTTTTTTCAGATACATTTTCAGAAATTTCATATATCGTGTTATATATTGAAGATTGCTGATTAGCTCACTGATACTATTTATTTCACATAGTTGATCATGCAGCTGAAAATTATCTTGATGCGACTAGTTGGATCATAGAATATTGTTTGTTGACATGAGATTAACCAATAGGTACTGAAACAATTCTTTCCAGTAGAAGTGATCAGTGAATCTACCTTGTCAACAAATTATGAAGAGTGGTTAGATCAGTTAGATTACACTTATCCTACATCAATTTGAAGTTGAAGGAGTTATAAGAAGCCTGAGATCATTGCCTCTTTCGAGATAATCATGACATTTAGAAAAGTACTTTAAACATTTCTTTTTCAACATACTTCATGCTGTAAATTGTATTTTGGAAAACTGGTGACTAAAGAAGCTTTGCATATTCCAGTTTGCTTCCAATGAATGTACGATTTCCAAATGAAGAAACTAGACCAGTTTCACACACAATAAATAAGTAATCTCATTAAAATCCCAACACATTTCTTGATGAGTTCATTGAAGGTAATCCTGCTGTTGAATATGACTGTCACCTTTTCGAATGGGATTTCAGTAACTTTGTTCTACAGAGTTTTTTGATATTTATAAAAAACATTTTCTGTCAAATTTGACTGGTTTGGAGTAGCACATAATAAAAGAAAAAAGGGTGTTTTTTTAACACGAATACTGTGGAAACAAATTTTAAATGAATTAATCAACAGAAAATCTCCATATATTGCTGATTATATGATTAAATGTTCAAACAGTCTTTCACTATGAAGCTATGTTGTCTTCACCAGACGTCATTTTGATCTTAAACTCCTCTGATGCATTTGCAGGATAGCTGTCGGACAAATAGTGGTATGATAACTGAATTTGTCAAAAGAAGCAAAATTGTTAGAGTTGAAATCAATATAGTGAGCTCATGAACTGCATCACAACGTGGGGTTTACGATATATTAGAAAAGGTACTCAATTTTTTAAAACACTTTTTTCAGATCCTACCTACACACTCGATTGTGCCTGGGCAAATGAAGCTTTCCTACACAAGCTTGAGCGAGCACACTGGGTTACTGAAATATTTGGAGAATGAGAGATAATATGCTACCTAAATCTGCTTCAAATGTCTTGTAGAATTGAAAAGATTGAATATTAGTTCCAATTCTGAATATAGTTGGGTACTGCAATTGAAAAAATAACACAGGTTTGCGATGAAAAAATTGTGGGATATTTAACTAGTGATTTTAACAGTAGTCACAAATTTCACCTGAAATTTTCTCATTAGATGGGTTTTTAGGTTCGGTATGGGTTTGATGTTTCTGTATTATATAGCCTATAAAAGCGGTAAATTGAATCTGATTTATGGAGCTTTTATGATGAACAAGTTATTACACAATGTGGGTGTATATCTAAGATAAAAAAATGGTTTTAATGTATTTATTTCAATGACAAAAACGAATCTAAACTGGGAAAATCCAGTTCCTGGAAAAAGGCATGTATGTGTCAGTCTGTCTGCCCCCTCCCTAAACCTACTGTCTGCTGGACGACGGGCGCCAGCCAGTGTGGTGTACAAATCAAACAGTTTTGTGCTTCAGTTTTGAGAATAAATGGCTACTAGAGGATATGTTGATTCTCCTAACAGTTTCTGTTATACTTGTGGATCTTATACCATCAAGAAGCAACAAAGGACTAATTCTAATTTTGTTCAGAAGGTGTATTTTGCATACTTTGGTATTGAATTAGGGGACCAAGATAAATCTTGGGTTCTACATATAGGTTCTGTGTGTGTTGAAGAAATTAGACAATGGTTTCATGGTAAGAAGAACTCATTTCATTTTGGAGTACCCATGGTTTGAAGAAAGCCTAAAAATCACAGGAATGATTGTTATTTTTGTTCTTGTTCAGTGCAAGGTTTCACTTTAAAAAACAGAAAGGATATTTCATACCCCACCAACATACTTTCAGCTGTTAGCCCTGTTCCTCACGAACCTAACTTGCTTATTCCTTCACCTCCGGATATCTTGGACAACATTTTAGAAGATTTAGACGCAGAAACACATAGTAGCAGTAGCGATACTGATGACAGCTTCGATTCAGGTACCAATAACCATGAACTTTTCTCTCAATCAGACTTGAACGATTTATTACGAGATCTGGGCCTCCCAAAGGACTCACCAGAAGTTTTAGGGTCTAGACTTGAAGAAAGACATATGTTATGGTATGGATTTAGAGAAGGGTAACCTAGTTTTCTGCAAAAATGTACCCGGCGTCATGAAAATGTTCAACATAACGTATGAACCAGAGAAATGGAGACTTTTTATCGATTCATCAAAAAGAAGTTTGAAAGATGTACTTCTTCACAATCGGAACCAATATGCTTCTGTGCATAAACTAAACTAAGAGTTTATTGTATTAGTTTGAGAATGTCCATATAGGAGGAAACTGCAGTAACGTTAGTTACACTTAAGAGTGTTAAAAACATAGAAGTTTTAGAAAGTCGAACTACTGAAACGGAAGTTACTCTATATGCTGAGAATTACTGTCAATTTCTATGTACTGATCTTCCTGAAATGTTGAAACTCCATCCCCAAGCGGCGGGAGGTAGGTCAGCTCAGCTCCCTATCAGAGCTGTCCATAAAGGAGTCTCTGCCCTCTACCTTATCATGTTTGATGGAAAGTTCTTCATCTGGTAGCTGGGTATCCTTGTCCTCCTGGCGTTGGCAAATTTTCATCCGGATGTTAGGCATGGAGTGGTTTGAAACTCTGGCCATTGAAGAAGCCCACAAGTAACCTCCTGTCTGTTTGAGATACGTTGACTATACCTTCATGATATGGAACCATGGAAATACAAAACCAGACACTTTTCTGAAGCACATCAACAGCGTACAATCTTCCACCATCTCCACAATGAAGGAGGATTCCCTCTAAACCAGTGAAGCGAAGAGAGAGAGAGAGAAGAGGGGATGAGTTTAAACGTTTTAATTACCTAGGAATAGTTATGTTTCAGAGGAATAAACCAGTCGTCACCTGGAAACAATTGTGAATATTAACAATCGAAACGTCGTGAAATAACTTCATTTAAAATCTTTATCAGTTTTCCAATTTCATTTTTATTTAACATTGGCAAACTATCTATTCATTTTTGACATTCATGATACTAACTGAAGAAACTATCAAGGTTTTTTACGTAGAACTGCCAAGAAGACACAACATATTCACCATAGGTGAGAGATATTGCTAGAGATGGAATTATACAGGGTGTTTCCTAACTACGATAGAAAAACTCCAGAGGGAGATTCGTTAGGTTAGGTTAGGTTTCAAGGGGAAGAGTTCTCATAAACATATATCCGGAATTGCTTCATTTCTGACATACAGGGCGTTGACGTTTTAAAAAAACGGTATCAATAAAATACCATTGATATCCTTACAGCGATTTGAATGAAATTTGCTACAGTTATTTGATGTGATAAGACGCCACATAATTTTTTTATAGTTTTATATTTTTTGAATTGACAACTAAAAATTCAATTTTTTGTCGCTCGTGCTTTCTACATATCAATCTTTGTTTTAGAGAAAAAAATTACTTGTGGAGTATTCCTCATGGCACTGTTATGGTCAATTATTCGATTCCTCAAGTCATTCACATCTAGTACAGGAGTTTCATAAACAAGATCAATCACACTGCGTAGATACTTTGTGACCTTTCGAAAACGTTCGACAGCGTCTCACATGAAACTCTATCAGAAAAATTAAACTATTACGGAGTTAGAGGTATTACGCATCACCTAATAAGAACCTTTCTTACTAATCATCAACAAGCAGTGACGCTCAACGGTACCTTATCAAACTTTAAAACTATCAAACATGGCGTTCAGCAAGGGTCTGTTTTGGGCCCGCTCTCTTTTGTCATTTATGTGAATGACTTGTGCAAATATATGATGCCGTTGAAATCGGTTTTTTTTTGCGGACGACACCACTTTCATTCTGTCGGATAAAAATAATGGTATGTTACAGTCTCATCTCGACGAGGTATCTGATAGTGCTAATTAGTGGTTTATATCTAATGAGCTGAAACTGAATTGTCAGAAANCCCGAAAAAACGCTACCGTTTAAAAAAGTACCAAATTGTGAATCATATTTGCCCCATAACAAGAGGTAATTTTTTTAAATCGGAGTATCCTATTTTAGACCACGTTTGGTATTCGGTTTGTACGGAAAATAAAACACAGGGCCAACAAAAAAGTTTTTCTCGTTTAATGAAGCCGGTTAACTAATCGCATTTATCGTACCAACAAATAATAAATCCACGATTTTGTCGATTATCTGACGATTTAATTGAAATCAAATTTGGTTGAGGCCTTCCCAGGATTTTAATAATGTAAAATTTATCATCATAAGATAAAGATTCAAAATTATTTGTCAGCAACCAATCGACTATATCGTCAGAATTTTTAATTTCGTCCAACTTATCCATAATAAATGAAAAAAAAACCGAGAAGTGAAAACCTGAAAACACCTGGAAATTGAAAGAAAACACTTTAAAAACGCATTGAAAATATTACCAAAAAGCACTGCTATTATATAATACTGCCTGTTTTATACACAAATAACAAATATTATCAAGAAACACTAAAACGATTTACCGAAATATCTTTCAGTGTCGGTCCGTCACGGAATATTTAAATAAAAAACAAACACATTCGTACACTAACGGAGACCAACTGGAGGCTAGCCTCCTCTGACGCTATAATTTCTGCAACAAAAATTACAAATCAGGACGTATGTCAATGGTTGGATCGGTCTCGTGAAGCCTGTGTTTTTCAAAGCGGTCGGAGGCTTTGCTCCCTTGCAACGTATGGCATTTATTATTTCGGGTTGATGGTTAATTCGTTATTCGTTCATGGGCGGTGCGTTTGAGGTTTGTTGATGCAGGATACAGTGTGGTACGTACTACGTAGTGAGCGATAGTGTGTTTTCGGGCATATTATATATTTATATCAAAAATTAATGGTAAAGTAATGATACCCGAGCATTTTTAGAAAAAAATAATCATAATTATTTGTCAATATCTTTCAATTTTTCGCAATGAATAGCCTCCAATTTTATGGGGAGGCTGAGCCTCCCTTGCCTCCTCTGACGAGCCGCCGCTGATAATATCCACCCTGTTGTTGTTGCTGCACCAGAAAAAACTGTTTGGGCAAGGGATCATATTTGTTCTAATGATGATATTTCATAGTAGAAGTGCATGAATGACCCAGAAATTGTTTTTGTTAGACCAACGATTTCTTTTCACCATTTCAGTTCATCAATCTCCAAATGGCTTTCATTTGGAATTACATAGATATATTCATCATGGTGATTGGTGCGACTCTGAAATACAGAATGCGACAAGTTACACATAGAGTTGAAATGTTGGCGAAATCAAAGGTACATACAACTCATCAGCCAGTTAGTTTATGAATCAGTTGAACCAGCTCGTATGTTTAACATTTCAGGTGAACCAAAAACATGCTTGGAAAGTCTTGAGGAATGATTATCTGCAGGTAGTTTCCCTGTGCTGCTCAACCAACAAAAGAATATCCCCAATGATCATAACAAGCTTCACGATAAACTTGTATTTCATACTCAAACAGATTTTCAGAAATTTGATAAAAATGGACAGTACATTGGAAAGAACATATTTTCACATGTCATTCGGCCTTTTAATCATTAGGATATTTTGTGTCATAATATATGGTAGCGGTGTACACGATGAATGGATGGATATACGTCAGATTATCCATAATGTATCTACATCGGCATTCAACATTGAGGTGAGTTTTACATAATTGTTCAGTCGAAACTTGTGCGAGCCAAAGACTAACGAGGTCTTACCTTTTAACGTGTGATTCATATCACGGGTTGGAAGATAGCAAAAAATCGATCGTACAGCCTGGGACTTGAACCAGCGACCAACACGGAGATCGATTTAAGTGATTTATAAATGGTCATATCTCGGATGATTAGTATAGTCATCCCCTGAGGACGATTGTGGATACTAACAATCGAAACGTCGTGACATAACTTGGTTTGGAATTCTTTAATTTTCATTCCATTTCTGATTCTTCAATTTTTCAGTTTTTTGCCTATTTTCATTCCATTGTTATTTCATCTCACGCTTTATTATGGACTTCCCAAAAGGCTCTGTAGTGTATGACTTGTTTTAAAAACCACCTTCATACCTAGTTCCTTGAAAATCTTTCCAAAGTTCCTCGTATATTAGTGGTATGGAACTGAGACAAGGGATGCTCCAATGAAGTTTCTTCATACGAAAGATTCTATCTTTTTTTCGATGAGGAATCACCTCCAAAAATGTTTTACACCTATTCAGTTACACCCTGTATATTATATAACATTTTTTTCTTCTCATCATCTAAGCTTTGCAACCTAATATGTCTCAGTGATGCTCCAGTAAATCCCCATTTTACATCGTGGGCTTCCCTGCTACAACATATAAATAGAAACCTATGATCAAGCGAAAAGACGGTCAACTCCCACTGAACCGTTGAATCGGAAAGAGAGGAGAGGGGAGGTGAAAGCGTTGAAATCTATACTAATCTATCCTATACTGTTTCTTCGTTAACCAGCTGTCGCACCCCTACGAACAACAACCCTCAGAAGTCGAAACTAACGAGGTCTTACCTTTAAACGTGTGATTCCTAACACGGGTTGGAAGATAGCAAGTGAAAATCGATCGTTCAGCCTGGGGCTTGAATCAACGACCAACACGGAGATCGATTCGAGTGAGTAAACAAAGCACCCACGCCAAAAACTAGTGATCTATAAATGGTCATATCTCGGATAATTAGTATAGTCATCCCCCGAAGACGATTGTGGATACTAACAATCGAAACGTCGTGACATAACTTGGTTTGGAATTCTTTAATTTTCATTCCATTTTTGATTCTTCAATTTTTCAGGTTTTCGCTTATTTTCATTGTAATTTTATCTCACGCTTTATTGCTTAATATTTATGTTATTTTCAGCTTTTAATTTAAAATTTTTCAATTTCATTTTTTCTCTCTCAGAAATTTCAAGTCATATTATATCATATCAGACAATGAAAGTTGAACTAGTAAAACTCACCATAAAATATTCACTGATTCAAGAAGTTTTTTTTTTCAAAACTTTCAGGTGGAGAGATTTATAAGTAATATTTCATCGTATGAATTGGTGCTATCGGGGAAAAATTTCTTTGGCATACGAAGGGGTCTAATTCTACAGGTAAACAAAAAATTCAAATTAGTTTACAGCAATTTCTCAATGAATACTGATGGCGTTTCATAAATATATTCTCAATGGAAACGCCCTATTCAAAAAAGAACGAGCTATAGAACAGGGGTCTCCAAACTACGGCCCGCGGGCCAAATCCGGCCCGCCAG